GAGCAATAAAAGGTCTACGCGCTTGGAATTCGTATCAATTTTCAAAGGTTTAATTAAAGACAGACGATTGAGGTACATCAAGCATGTGAGTAATCGGTGGAATTTATTCCATCAATTCTCATCCAAGAATTTTCTATTTAAAAAGTTGAAGGCCTAGCATATATATATATACATATATAAGAACCTTTCTTTCTTTCTATATTCAAAAAATCTTGAAGGTCAAACACCTACAAAATACAAAAGTCTTTTTTCGAAATGCTAACGTGGGAGATTCGCTAAAATATTAAACAACTAATTTGCATTAAATGAATGACTGAGTAATAGTGCGCGATCGTGTCCAAATCTTGATGTTAAATCTAATTGACTTTATATTACTCATTGACGAAGCAAAAAATGTCTGAATGTATCTGAATGATCATAACTCATTGATAGTATTTCTGAACTTTGTTAATGCGTTTGATGAATCTTCAATTTATTAATAGTGGGAGACGCGCAATCAATCTTCTATTTTTATCTCTTCCACTTTTCATTAAATCACGAAGCTGCGTATTTTATATTCAAAGTCAGTGACCGATCTTATTCGTAATTAAAAATGAATTGAAAAAGAAAAAATATTTTGTTAAAAGATATAATAATATATCATAAAATTATTTATATTTTTTGTGCTAATTTTAATTCCTATAAAATATATTAAAAATTATTGAAATTTATTTGATATTTTATTTCAAAGTCTATATATAATTAATTCAATATTTTCTAACATGTGTGACCATTATGTGCACCATATGTTTTGCAGATGTAAGAAAATCCTATTTCAACATGTGATTACCACATTAATTATTGCTGACTGGGATTATTAGAATTTGTTTAAATATTTGTTAAAATAGATATTATTTATTAATATAAAATTATTAATTTATATACATATAAATAACTGAATAATGGTACAAAGTAAAAACGTATTAGTCACTGTCCTTGAGAATATAGTCTTTTTATCATAAAACGACTATAACTTATTATGAAATATTTTATTATTATATACTAATGTTAACAAACAATATAACACATGGACAATAGAACACAGAAAAGTCGCCGGGTAGATAACTCGTTAAACAATAACACCGTAAAGCCGTATTAAATTCCTTTTCCTTCTCAGAGAGAGAGAGAGAGAGAGAGAGAGAGAGA